CAGGGCCACGCTGGGAGCTCTGCCCCGGGAGCTTTGGGTTCACTCCCGTCCCCAGGGCTGCTCTGCCTCTGGCCAGGCCGTGACCATTCTTCTGAGGTGCCCCAGCACTTGCGACCCCATAGCGCCCCCCCCCCCATCCCTGCAGTCTTTCCGGAGGTCAAGGATTTGCACTCTTTACAGGTCCAGGAAGGGCTCCTGCCCAAGGCAGGGAAGGGGCAAAGCAAGCCGGGCAGGAAGGCGGCTCTCCGCGTGGTCCTGGAGACAGAGCTGGGGCCAAAGCCCCCACACGCCCTGACAGCCGCCCCCAGGTCCGCTGGCCTTCCTGGCCCCAGCTGCTGAAACCCCATGCCTGGCGGTTTAGGCTGGTGTGACAGCTGGCTCCTCGCATCAAGGTCTCCTTTCTCAGATGCCGACGTCTGGGATCACAAGGTGGGTCTCAGTCCGCAGCTCCCAGCACCCACTAACCCACTGGTCAACCCCTGGCTGCATGGACAAGTGCCTCCCTGTGCCGGTGGTTGGGTAATTGTAGGCTGTCGCTAGGAGCTTGCTCTGGCGCTGCCTCCCTCTCCCCCAAAGGAAGGGCTGATGGGCAGCTGTGCTCTGAGCAGCCCAGGGGACGTTGGTAAGGCAGGGCCAGGTGTGGCCCAGCCTCAGGGACCCAGGAGACATCTGTGTGCCTCATCGGAGCCCCGTGGGAAGTGAGGCCTGCAGAGTTTCTGGGACAGAGGGTGGGTGTCCTCCACTGTGCCCAGGAACAGGGTGGGCGAAGTTCGAGGCCATCCCGAGCATCATGAAGGGACGGCTGCCTGGCAGGGCCACCGAGGTCGGAGCTGGGGGCCTACTTGTTCCACGGTCAGCCGTGGAGTGTGATGGTTTGGGGTTGCCAGCCTCGTCCACAGAGGTCTCAGCAGGCCTAGGGAGGCCCCAGGGACACAGGTTGGGTGTCCAGGGCTCTGCCCGCCGCCCACCCGAGTGTGGGGCTGGGGAAAGCTGGTCTCTGGTGGCAGCCCCTGGCCAGCTCCCAGCTGCTCACTTGCAGTGGGGGGATCACTGAAGACCCTTCTCATTCCTGGGCCCAAAGGGGCCCAGCTCAGTCACCCCACCCAAGGGAAAGCAGCTGCCCATGGGCCTAGAAGACGCCCTCACCAGCCCGCAGCTGCTGGGTGCTCTCCGTTTCCACCCTGGGCGATGCCAGCTCCCCTTACCTGCTGACGGTGGAGAGCCAGGCTGGGCTGCCCTTTGCTGGGAGCTGTCCAGGATACTGTACTTGACCCCTCCCACAGCCCAGGGGGTGGGGCTCGCAGAGACCCCCCCCCCCACCTTGCCCAGGGTGCTGCAGAGGTCCCAACCTATGGGGGAGAAGGGGAGAAGCTGCCCGGCGATCCCTGACAGTGCTGCTAATGAGGGCGGGGTGCCGGTGCAAGGAGCTGCCCTGGGGAGGGCCCCACCCCATTCTGTGCAGAGGGACTGCATTCTTGCCCACTGACTGGTGGCTCCATAGCCTAGTGGCAAGGGATCTGGATCCCACGCTGACCTTGAGAAATACCCCACTGGGAGGCGCCTGTTCCCAGTCTGTCCCACGGGTCCTCTGGCAAAACTAAAAACTCAAAACAAGGCTGTCCTGGAAGCAGAACACACACACGGCCCGGCCCGGCCCTCCCTGAGCCCAGGCTGGGAAATGGGCCCCCTGTGCGGGTGCAGATGGCGCGGCAGGACGGCCCTGGGGTCCACCTCAGGCCTTGAGGCCCCCTCGGCCTGAACCTCCCCCCCCGCACCTCAGCCTCGACGTCCCCTCCTGAGGCCTAAGCCACAGTCAGCTGGGACCGGGTGGTGCGAGCCTACAGCACAACCCCTGAGGGACCCAGAGAAAAGAGCACAGCAGAACAGCAAGGCGCTTGTGAGACCTGACGGTTTCCTTTAAAAACACACAGAACGACACACAAACCGGAACCCCACCCAAACCAGCCCAATGTAACAGGTTAGCCGTTAACACAGGGGTAAAAAGACGTCACCGCTCACGCATCGTTTATTCGGTGGAGGAGGCCCGGCCTGCTTGGCCGACATCACAGTGGTCGGCCCGGCGTGGCCAGGAAGGCAGAGCGCGGCACACCACACAGCCAGGCTGCGGCCGACCACGGCAGTAGGTGGCAGGGCACAGCAGCAGCCTTGAATCGACGCTAGAACGGGGCACGTAAGCACGGGCACTGGCAGATGCCTGCCAGTGGGGTCAGGACTCGCTTCAGAACATCCAAACCCATGTGTAGAGACCTCAGCCGGCCTGGGGGCAGGTGCTGGGGTCCCTGACAGCCCGTGGCCGCTTGCACTTGCCTACCGCCACAGCAGCGTGGTGAGCTTCCTGTGTTCCTGGCACTAGTGTCTGGCCTGCACACAGGACTGGCTCAGCACGGCGGGGCGCAGCCTCCCATGGTCCCTCTCTCCAGGCTGAGCCCTCCAACCTGCCTCCCATGGGGAAGTCGCCCGCAGGGCCATGCTCCAGGTTGTCCGCCCCTTGTGGGCCCAGCCCCAGCCCCTCACACTCCAGCTGACGCTGCAACAAGAGCCACCACTCCAAGTCGGCCTCCCTGACCTGTCCACAGCCGCGGCAGCAGGGAGCCAGGTCTCCACGTAGAGGCTGCCCGGTCCAGACAGGGCCCTGGCTGCGCTCCCTGGGCTGATGGTTTGAATGCAGTGGCACCCCAAGTTCCCCCACCGAGGCAGGAAGAGGCCTATGCCCTGCTCAGGCCCTGCAGGGCCCACGTAGAAGGGAAGTGCTCGGTGCCCCGGGAACACTTGTCCTGTGCAGGGCTGCAGCCCCCACAAGGCCACAGGTTCCGATTTGTCAACCACCCTGCCTTGCAGACAGGCACCTCCCGCTGTCCTCATGTGCAGAAGAAAACACCGAGAACCATGGGACCAGCAGTTAGCGTAATGGCTTTGTCGCTGGACTCCCATGTGGTCGACCACGGTTCAAGTCCTGGACCCGGTGGCTTAAACTCATGCTGGGCACGTGTGTGTGCGTGCCCAAGATCCCAAGAGGAGAATGGAGGAGATTGTGGTGTGGACATCGCCCCAGGGGGTGATTTCTCGCTCTCTCTCTCTCTTTCTGGCGAGTGCCCGCGCCCTATAGCAAAAATCTCTCAAAAAAAGAAAAGACAGCACTGAGGCCCAGAGGACGGGGCCCTGCCCACTGCAGCAGCATCAGGCCCTCTGCCTGGGGACACTGCCATCTGCAGCAGCATCAGGCCCTCTGCCTGGGGACACTGCCATCCAACGCTGCACCGTGCCCGAGCAAGAGGGTGCAGCACTCAGTGCATGGGGAAACATCTGAGGAGCAGCACAGGGCAGGCCTTCTACCTGCGGGGAGCGAGCACAGGGCACAGGGCAGGTCTCCTTCCCCCTCCCAAGAACAGTGGCTCTCTAGCCCCCCAACTGCTCACCCAGTTTCTTTGTGCTGAGATGGTGCTGGAGTGGAGGGGCGTGGAAGGGTAGGAGCAGGCTCAACCAGCCGCTCAGAGCTGGGGCTGGAGCAGTGGAACAGTGCCCAGCCCTGCGGGCCCCAGGCCACGTTCCCTGTGGGGCCACCACCAGCAGTTCCCACATGGCACTGCAATGCCGGTAATGCCAGAGCACGGCTTGGTCTCCAGGGAGAGGGTCAGTCTGAGACCAAAGCCGACCACTGGGGTACAAGGCAGAGCCTGGGGCAGATGTCCTGCATCGTGGGGTCCCCAGAGACCTAGGCCAGGCCTTGCTGCCTACCCCTGGGAAACCCCACAGGGACGAGGGGGCCCCATGCCTGCCGGCACAGCCACGCCCCGAGGGGAGGGTGTGGTCGAGCAAGGTGCACGTGCTGGTGGCGGAGCGCCCGAGAGCGGAGGCGGACACTCGCAGTCGACTGGGACAGGCCGCGTGGCTGACCGGGGCCCTGCCGACAGCTGAGGGGCTGTGGCCAGCACAAGAAGTGAGGAGGCCGATTCCCTGGGGCCTGCAGCAGGGACTGACCGTACCCGGGACCTCTGGGTCTGGCCATGTGTCTGCTTTCTTGCCCATTTCTAGAAGGCTCCGAGGGCAGAGCTTTGTCTCCATGAACTAGACCTCAGCTCCCAAATTGGATGCAGACAGCTCAGGAGCCACAATGCCCCAGCCTAGTCACGTGGAGGATGCTGTGGGGAACACAGTCCAGGGACCCCTGGCATCCTGGAGCCAGGAGTCAGGCCTGCTGAGCACCCCACCAGCCTGGCCTCTGCTCGGGCAGTGCCCCTCCTCCCCTGCTCTCCCAGCCTGCTCTGCTCCTGGACTTGAGGGTTCCTGCTCTTTGGGGGTGGTGCAGGGTCACTCCGGAGCCCTGCAGTTAGTTTCCGCTAGCATCGCTATGTCCATGGCAGAAGGCCAAGCACTTCGGGCCGCTATCGGCCATCGGCCCCAAGTCCCTGTGGCAGCTCCATCTGCCCACTGGCGGGGTTGGGCCCTCGAGGTACACGCCGCTGTGGGTGGTATGAGCTGAGAAAAGACCTTCCCCATCACTCCCATTTCTTTAAAAATAATCATCTCAGTGGCATCGAATTGACCCAAAACTTAAGTTAAAAAAAAAATACAAATAAGTTGAGGCAGGTGGAAGGAGGCCCAGGGCGGTGGCCCGTGGGCATTGGCTCTCCCGACCCGGCAGGTGGCTGAGCTGGCCCTGAGGGAGGCCCGGGCGCAGCCCTTCTTCTGGGACTGGGTTCGTACCAGAGTTGGCACAGCGGCTGTGGCACCGGCCTTGGGGGCGGGGGTGCCGGTGGCTCTCCACTGAGCTGTGTGGGCGATGGGGCTGCAGTCACTCTGGGAAGGGACGCTTGTGAAAGGCCCGTGTCTTCGTGGCAGGCCCCCCGCCCCCGC